ATAAGGGTCAGCCTTTATGTGCGTTGACATAAAAGAAATCGGTTCTTAGCAACGACCGATTATATGTTGTTGTTTTTACGTGTAAGTAGTAGATAAGAGATGTGCATTGAAATGTTTTTAAAAAAATCTTTTTTTGATCACGACCAATTGTATATTGTTACGCATGTAAGTAATAGGTCAAGAAGAGTCAAGGTCAATATTTATTGTACGTTGGCATGTTAAGTAATAGATCAAGAAGAGTCAAGGTCAACATTTATTGTACATTGGCATGTTCTTAAAGAAATCGATTTTTAGTCACGGACAATTATGTTGTTTGTTTCGTGTGTAAGTAATAGAAAAGTGTTGAAAATATTAGTTTGTGGGCACGACGAGTTGCTCAGTTATTGAACAAATAATGTTGTGTACAAGAAAGTTTAAATAATATATTATTTTGCATGAGGAAGAGATTATGGTTTGATAATTTTCCTATGAATTATCACTCTTTTATTTATTAATACATTTTAATTTTTAATATTTTGCAAAGTAAATACCGCCCGTGCATCGCACGGGTTACATACTAGTTATGATAAACATAGATAAATTGTATTAATATATTTACGACCCGCCTAAAAACTTTTTAAAACATTGTTAAAAGGGATACAAGGAATAAAAAAAAGGCACATCATTCATTGTCACCTCTCTTCTCATCATTATCATATTAGAATTGACTGTGTACAAACCTATTTCAATTATTACATATGTTCAATATTCATTAAACAAATTTTGGATAAACTTTAAATGTTGTGAAACAAGTGAAAATAATAAATTATTAAGTAATATAATTTCTTTAAAGCAATTAAAATAAATATGCATACAAAATCAATAGTATGCAACAAGTAACATGCAGTTGATTAGTAGAAATAATATTTTGATAGAGAGAGTGCGGGCATGGCTTTTGAATTTGTGCATGTTACTTAAGACATATTAATAATGAAAAGAATTTGGATGAAGAATAAGATACTGGGTTTAAAAAGATGATATAGTCTATGAACATTTATAATGAATAAAATAAATAAATACAATTTAATTTGTGTTCCATTTGTCATTATAAATTAACTTCAAGAGTTGTCACTATAACTTCACTTCAAGAAGAATGTTCCAACAAGATACTAAGTAAGAGCATCCCAGTGCTATGTCACTCTTAGCTTTTTATGCTAGAATTTGGTTGGACTATTTGAATAGGAGGGGAGAAAAAAAATTAAGTTAAATTGTTGCATATAATATTTTAATTTTTATTTCTAACATCAATAAAGATATATTTGTCATTATAACATTACTTTTCTTCCCATTCATTTTTTTGCCGAACAAAATTTACTATTTTTCTCTCAATTTTCCTCTTACAACATCTTTCAAAAAAAGATAAAATTATTTTTCATCTCCTCCCCTCTCCTTCTCTCCCCTCCATTAACCTCCATTAACCTCCTTTCTTTCCCTCATATGCATTGATTTTCGTACTTAAATAAGTTAATTTAACATTTTTTTTTTACACACACATACGAGGATTAATACTGATACCCCAAATCTCCTCGAACTCGGGATATGATATACGCCAAGCGAGGTATGCACCACTACACTAAACCCTTTTAACATTACTATTCTTGATGTGAAAATTGACTCAATTGTATGTCTCTTGTCTTGCAAATTGGAGAAGAGAAGATGAACATAACCGTGCTCAATACAACCAGTCACCTAATTCATTCAAATTCATTCACCACCAAGAAACAAAGATAACATACTAACAATGAGTGAGATTTCCGTTGAGAATTTCCCAAATTCATAATAGTAATGAAATGAAAAATACCCACTAAACAGCAGAGCCACAGATCTAAACAAAAAACACCCAACCAACCAAAACCCTAGCCGCCAAACCCGTAAAGCGTGCGGCCCTGCCTCTTGAGCGCGTAGACCACGTCCATCGCCGTCACCGTCTTCCGGCGAGCGTGCTCCGTGTACGTGACCGCGTCACGGATGACGTTCTCGAGGAAGATCTTCAAGACGCCGCGAGTCTCCTCGTAGATGAGGCCGCTGATGCGCTTGACGCCGCCACGGCGGGCCAGGCGCCGGATCGCCGGCTTAGTGATGCCCTGGATGTTGTCGCGCAGGACCTTCCGGTGGCGCTTGGCCCCGCCCTTACCCAACCCCTTGCCTCCCTTTCCTCTTCCTGACATTTTCTCTTTGGATGAATGGTCTTTTTCTGGGTAGATTGGATTTTGATTTTGGAGTTGCGATTTGTTGTTTGTGAGGAGCCTGCGGATAGGATGGCGATTTTTATAGAGTAGCCTGTGGGGCATGGGGATAATCTGAGCCGTTGAGTTTCTCTGGCAATCTACGGCTGTGTGCAGTGATCCGCGTCGTTGAGTTTATTGGTTTTGAGGCGTTGATAAAAGACAAATTGACGGTCTAGATTAGATATTAGCTCATTAACGGGATTTCAGGATTTTGGCCATATCCCATTACACACTGCACCACGGCGCTCAAAATGTCACTTTAGTTTTTTTACACCCACCTAGCCATTATATGGGAGCAAATATTATTGTGGGAATCCTGCACTATCATGTCTAAAATATTTTTTTTTTTTTCTGTTTATCTAAAGTATAAAATACTTCCTCCTATTTAAAATAAATGTCGTTTTGAGTAGTTGCACAATAATTAAGAATATTTTTATTTTCAATAATAACCCTATTTAATGAAGATAGAGATGAATGTTTTGAGAAAAAATGAAGAGGGAATATGGAAAGACGTAGTGTATTTATTGACTAAATGAGGGTAATAATGAAAAAAAACATGTACAAAAGATCTAAAACGACATTTATTTGGTTAATATTTGATAAAGTCAAAATGACATTTAAAAAGAATAGGAGGTAGTAATAATTTTGAATAAAGAATAAAAATTTAATTTTATCCATACAATACAATTTATATAGTACATATTAATTTAGCTTTTGTCTCATGTTATATATGGCACCTAGAAACAATTCGACAGACCAGTCTGAATAGGTAGCTCGATTAGGTTAGACTAGAGAGCTCTCGTGTATACAAAAGCAAGATGTTCGGTCAAACAACTCGCATGCGTGCTTAAGATAATGAACTGCCGGAAAAGAGACGGCTAGAAGGTGTTAGCCTTCAGGAGTAACCGACCTCGAGATATCGAAGTCGAGTGGTCTAAGGACAGGTTAGACCTCGAGACGAAGTCAAGTTCGCCCTTAGATAGGCCAGAACAAACAAGTCAGGAGGTCGGGGTTATGACCCAAGGACACATGGGCTAGGACAGTAAAGGATGGAATAATCCTAGTAAGAAGAAAAGAATTGCTTGTTCAATGACTCTTATCTAGGTAAAGACGTGTTAGGGAAGTAGGTTCTAGTTAGATTTCTTCTCTAAGAAGGACTCTCGTTTGTTTGAAGATATCCACCCTATATAAGGGTGACAATTTCTTATTCAGAGCAAGGTAGTGTATTGAGTTATGGTTAGTCAAGTCGTGAACTTTGGAGAAGTTGTGTTTGACATTATTCAGTCTTTTGTTTCCAACACTGATTCTCGTCGTACTCTTTCTTCCCCTTGTTTAATTTGGTCCTTTTTTGTTGCTATTAATTTTGCTGTGAATCCTTAATTCAATGATTTGCTGGTGGTTCTGGGGAAAGCACTCACTGTGAGTGTTCACACTATCAATGAGAAGTAGAATACCAAGGCCAAAGTCGAACTTGCTCCCTCTGTGGTACCTACCAAGTGGGACGAGTTCATGGTGCAGCAGATAGCCGAGTGGGACGTCATTGCAAAGAAGGCCGCATCACAACAAGCCTATATTTGCCAAACTCTTAAGGTAGTTAAAGGGAAGCGACGTAAGAACGTTGGGATTGGCCCTTCGGCATCCCGTGGTTCGAGAAAGGGGGGAAGGCAGAAAAGGGTGTTGATGAAGATGCAAGTTCGGATAATGAGTCAGGGAGAGAATCACCTTCAGGGTGATGGCAGTTGGCAGTTGGTTTTTATTTGTTTTTATGTGTTTTTTGAGGTCTTGATGTATAAGAACCTCATGTCTATTTGTCATCTGTGTGTTTGCTGCAATATGCTATGATGATGCTTGGATATTTTGGGTATTCTGAACTATGGTTGTTTTTTGTTTTTATAATTGTTGGTCACTTGGTTGTTTTATGTTGTATTTTTTATGTTTTTACTAGAATGATCTAACCCTTGTACTGTATTATCTACTATACACTTGTCTCAAGTTATCTTCATTATATGATTTTCAAACTAGATGCCAACGGGCAAAGACTGAAAGATTTATTTATTTGCAATAAGTTCAAAAATAATATATTGAAGATATGTTCTTCAAAAAAAGTAATTTAAGGAAAATCTTCATATATTTATTTGTGTCTCGGTTCATATATATGTTATATACATTGGAATGATTTTGCATGATCTTATTAAATATATTTGGTAGGCCATGTACGCACGCATGAGAGAGATACGAAGATGATGGAAAGAGGGTCAAGAAAGAGAGAGAGGAGCAATATCAACTTACCATGTTTCAATCTGGAGACTTGGAAAGAAAATCAATAAAGTTGGAATTTACTTATAAAGAACTCCACGCCTAAGGAGCCTACATATACCCAACTTTCAGATCAATTGAAGGCTATTTAGATAATGATTATTCACATATCATTTGAGTTTCAATTGAGAGTTCAAGTTATTTTTACTTTCGGTGTTCAGTTCTTTGATGTTCTTACAATTTCGAAGAATTGAAGTTATTTTCGTTTAGTTTTTCATATTTTATTCTGACACTTTGTTTTTAATACTTAGAGCATAAGTATTGAGTTTGCTCGAGAGATTCGAGTGTGTATAGTCCAAGGGATGTGGCTAAAGAAGTAGTTTGTAGGATCGAGTATAATATTGGCTAGACTAGAAGGGAGTTCTAGTTGTGTAAGTCCCAAACTATACACGTGTGCACAAACGATCTATTAATAAAATATTTCTGAGGGGTAGTGGGACAATCCCCAAAGAGCTTTTATATCTTGTTTGTGATTCCGCTATTTCAACTTATTCTAGCATTGCAACACATGTTGATTTATAAATATTCAGTGTTCTAACACAGTTGAGCGCACTCTACGTAGTATACCCACGTTTCAGTCATCTCCCTGACCTCAGGATAACCTAACCAAAGCCAGATCCATGCTCTCGATTGCTGACAAAGACGAAGCAACCATTCTTTCGAAAGAGAAAAATTAAAGAAAAGAGATAGAAGATTCAAAATTGATTCTTATCGAAGAACCTGAAAGATCGGAGAGCACGAAGAAAATAAGGAGAAATCGATGATTTTTTTATGTTTGATTGCGTTAAAAACAATGAATTTTCATACAAGAGTTCAAAATTGCAAAAGTGAGTAAAAAAAGGGTCGATTTATAGGAAAACCTTCGACTACTTAGGAAAGCCCGCATGGAGCAACGTTTCAAAATTTGAAAAGAGTAAGAAAGGCGATCAACGGCTCAGATCGAAGCCACACCTTCCAACAAAAGTTTATTCGCACTCCTTTCTAGTCATTTATGGAAATCAAGGCACACCTCATAAATAAAAAAAAAAAAAACCATCAGATGGCATGATTAATGTCTGGGGATGCGCACTGTGTTGAAGGACGCATCAGCCATAATTAAGGGTCAGACCAACTCAAAAGTGGGTTTGGAATACGATCACATAAAATCCACTAACCGTGGCACATCAGAGCTCGGGGGGCCTATATGTTGACCCCGAGTTGAAAAACGGGCCCACAAGTGAGAGTAAGACATGTCTCACCCAATGAGCCGAGCTGAATTCCTAGACCGACCATACGATATAGAAGAACCATGGCGAAAGAGCCAACGAGGCCAAATTCAAGACAAGGACTTTAACCCGAACTAGACGAACATGTCGAGCATGATACAATTAAATAAAGGTCACTTGCAGCCTAATAATAGCCGGGTAACCTGTCGGCCGGCTAGTCGTAGACTCATATGATAGAATGACGCATTAAATGCGCTTGTCCAATCAATTAAATGCGCACTGTACTACGTGATGAACAATTTTCGAGTTACAGTTACTATATCCTTGTATTAGATCTAAGAAAGCGTCGGAAATTATGGGAATAAAAGAGAAAAATATCCTTATATTCAATACCACATTAAATACTCATCTAAGCTAAAAAAAAAAACATTGACCGACTTGGTGTATTGATATATTATTACATTCGCATTTCATTTTTTGGCATTACTATTCACCGTCCCCTTATTACTAGTCACCGCCTCCCTTGGACGTTTTTGCCCTTCACTACTCTCTCTCTACTCTCTCTCTCACTACTCTTTCCCTCTCAATTTTCTACGACTTTTTTTACCGTAAACAAAATTCAAAAAAAATGCCAAGAAAATACTATGACATCGGCAAGACATTGAAGATTGACCATATATTTTTTTTCCTTTGTAGGATAGATGAAAATTTCCCTAAATCTTTTGTTGTTGTTGACCTTTTTAGTTTTTCTCTCGGCCATTTTACATATACTGATTGCTAAATAAGTGCAAAAATGCTAAATGGAAAGCTTATTTGCATATCTATCTAATCTAAAATAAATATTTAGATAAATAGTGACTATTAAATACTACTCATCACACATCCCTTTTCGTGAAATTCAAATACATAACCTCCATCTCAATTTCTACCCCATCCGCCGCCTCACATCCACCTCATCAAGATCCCAAATCTCCTCCGCGGCTGACACCAGCCCTCGTCGACGCCCAGTTTGCCCTCAAGTAGGACACCGCCGCCCACGTGACCCTCAATTAAGGAGCTTCGGGCCGAGCGCAAGGTAATTAAAACTGTGGTCAGGTCGAATCGAAAAAGTGGCCAACATCGCCATTTGCGACTGCTAGATCGGTACCCCTACTCCACCGTTCGCCGTTGATCCCAGCCCGGAATTCCAGTTTTAACCGCGCCAAGATGGAGACTCCAGCTGCGTTTGTACGGGCTGCGATCCTATGGCTCGGTCTATTGTCTCCGCTTGTCGGCTCCATGCAAACACTGTCTATTTTCCGATATGCGCTGGCTGCCATCACGAGAAACTCGAGACAACAAAGATTATGAGTCAAGGGTGCCATCGGTTTTGTGTAGGGTGCTGGTGCAGCTTGGCTTGTGTTGGTATGGCTCATATAT